AGTGATAGAGGAAGATGTAGTTTTGGATACAGTGAGTCTGGGCTGGTCTGGTGGAACTAGATGGGAAATAATTAAAAATAGAAAATGCCATCAAATTATTAGACATGATCCTAATCACTTCTAACAGACATTTATCAAAGAACTGTTTAGAGTTGCAAAAAATGCAAATTATTTCTGTCAAAGTGTCTGTTTAGCTCACATCCTTGGCTAAGACAACTCTTATTTTTTATATTTAATTTTCTACACAATTTTGTCTTTCAACCTTTACCCCTTATCTTCCTTGTCCTGTCTGACCTAAATGGTACTACCCAGCCATTCATTTTCATTACTTTTCATATCTGTTTATACTCTCAAGGAAAATTCTCTATGTGAGATGGATTTGTACCATTATTCTGACTGACTTGGCTGATTCCATGGGGAGAGACTGCACATGGTACACTGTGACAGATTTATTGCAAAGCCTTTCATCACAGTTTCACCCTATATACAAAAAAAAAGATGCCACATATAAAATGCCAGTCTTTGTCCCTCAGGGAAGCAACATTGATTTGCTTTTAGTTACTGCAGTTCAATAACAGCAAAGATATGCAATTACAAAAGTACTTAGTGAAATATAAATATAAGGTTTCCATTTGATGGTGTTTTATCTCCCTACTTCCTGTTGGGGTCATGCTTCAAACAGTGCAGAAGAGCATCTTCAGTTTCTGTTGGATTGCAGGTAAGCTGATATATGCTTTGAAATTTGTTTCAAGGCTTAGTGGAATGGTTTGTGCAAGGATAATGGGACTGCAGTTGAAACATTCTCCTTCTGTGCTCTCATGTTGGCACTAGAAGTATAGATTCCATATCCAGGGACAGGAGAATGACAGACCACAGCCCAGCCCATATTCCCAGCTCGGGTGTTTGCTTGACCACTGGTACAACAATTTGCAGTCGGTTGAAGCACTCTGAGGATCAACCTTAGCGTACGAGAAGCTCACCATGAACTGCAGTGTGCACTAGCAGCCCAGAAAACCAATGGAATCCTGGGCTGCATCCAAAGGAGTGTGGCCAGCAGGTCAAAAGAGGTGATTCTTCCCCTCTGCTCTGCTCCTGTGAGACCTCACCTGGAATACTGCACACAGTTCTGGTATCCTCAGCA